ATCAATAATAGAGGCTAACACACAAGTGCACTTTTAAATCTTTTAAAACTGATGATGGATGAAAGTGGGAAAAAATAAAAAAAATTATAAACATCACACATACATTACTTTTTTATTATGCTTAAATATTTAATTGTCTTAGATGTAAAATTACACATTATTTTGAGCAGCTATGTTTTCCCTCGCTAACTGTCTCTGTTTCACTGATGCATTGGTGTTGCTTTTTAAAATACGTTATTTGTTCATATTTTGCTTTTTTTTTTTTCCCAGATGTTGCCATGGTCACTAGTAATATTAGCACTCCATTGATAATGCTTTTTTGTAGGCACGGTGTGCACGCTTAACTCTGAGTTGGTCTACTCAAAGTTGATTGACCCAATTCAGATCAGCTATTTTGAAATCAAAAATTCTGAGTTTTAATCTAAGTTTAAGTTTAAACTCCGAGTTGGTTGAACCTCCTTACTGAAACAGACCCAATACCCAAATACCCAAATAACAGGCCCAAATTCAATAAATAGGCTGTTCATTGATATATATTTTGTTAGGACAATATTTGTAAAATAAAATGTCTTGTGGTCCAGGATCAACATTGCACTGGTAATGAAAATCTAACCAAGCAACTTGGTTAAGTGACATTACTTTACTTTAAGCTGCAAAATAAAAATACTGAATCTTTTTTGCTTGATACTATATAATTCAATATTAAGATGGAATAAATGCGTTTATATTATTTTAAATGTTTTAATGTTTTCAAAACTCTGAAGGATTGCTAAGTAAGAAACAGACAATACTGCAATATGAAAATTGGGGGTTTCATATATAATTTCATGTTTTATATAATTTGATATTGATAATTATTTATTTTTTTTAATAATAAAATTAGGAATATTAGGATTTTGTATTTAACCACTTTATTTAAACCAACATTACTAAGGCAAATACCTTTAATAGTCAAAAACTAAAATTTTTAAACAAATATCTCATTTCTATAATAAAATAAACATAAGTGTTAAAGAGACTCTCAAACTTGAATAAAACGTTACAAAGTGTGTGCAACGGTAAAGCATAAATACTGAACAATCAAAGCAAACGTTTATATTGACAATGGTGTTCGGTCAATAAATGTTGATACCGATTTTATTTTATCGCCCTGCCCTATTTAATAGCTTTATATTTAATATATTATTTAAGTTATATATTAAAGCAACTAACATTTTGCTCGCTGTGTGCTTGCCTTCCAAACCCAGAAGGTACCTCAAGGCTCTCATACAAAGTGTGGGCAGGAGTCCTGTGAAAAGGGGTCCCTTTTGCTGAGTAAAGGGCACATTTCAGTGAGCAATCAAATCAAGACTAGTTTGGCAGGAATCTGGGAACCTCTTGTTTCAGTAATATGAGAGCACCGTTGGCTCTGAGCTTTAACATATTGGTATGCAAATGCATTAGATCAGGCTTTGAGTCCCCTAGATGCAGCTGAATAACTATACAAATGAAAAACACAGCAGCTTTTCGTCATCGGTTTTTAATCTCTTCTTTGGCCAATGCAAAGCCAGTTTGAGCAGGAGCGTTGAGCCATGGTAACTTGGCAGGGTATGAGGACATTGACATTTCCTCTATCTAATCATAGTTATCTTTAGAAAAACGTCACACCATTGGCTCCCTCTGTCCAAATATCGTTCTGGCCTAAATGCGTTTAAAGTCCAAACTAATACGTCTTTCTAGTGTATTGGAGATGTTGTAATTTCTCCTGATTAGTTTTCTGAATAGACTGCTTGTTTCTCAGCTTAAGTGATTGAGATTGTTCCAGCTCTGGTTACTTAAAAGCTCCTTGCGTTTGGTTTTGAGCGTAGTTCACTTTGAGTAATGAATGGTGGGGGAGATTCGTCTGCACCACAACTTTGCTGACTAGGTAGGTTTGACTGTGTCAGACCAGAGATGTAATTCTGTTTGGTCTACGGTGAGACAGCTGTCTGGCAGGGAGAGACGGTTCTTCTGAATCAGCTGAATGTCAGCTGATCCCACATCCCCCACGCCATTACCAGCATCTCCCTGCTCTACCAGACACAGCTCTCTAAACCCTCCACAAGAGTCGTGGACTTCCTGTTTCCTTCTCAGGATAATATTTCAGCTCTGCGGTCACATCGGTTGTGGGGTCTGGGTAGCTATTTTCTCTCAAAGTAAAGTGGCTATTCAGTGGATGCTTGTCAAGGAAAACTGTTTAAGCACCAGAGCTGTAGACTGAGAGTTGTGGGAGTAGCTCAGTTTGACACTCAATCAAAGCAATCTAATTGCTGCATTTGTGCGATTGGACCAAAAGTCAGTGCAGTTTTATTTATGCTAAACTTCTGCGCACAAGTGGTGAGGAGTGTGAATTTTAGCCTCATTCTTGCTGTTTCAGAAGGCAACATCTGTGGCCTTTCTACCACTTCCTGGTTTTGTTTTAGGATGTTATCATATTCTGTGTTTGAGGAATAAACAAACTGACAGCATTTGCACTTTCATTTTAGGTCTGAACAAATTTAAGCCAAATTAATAAAATTAGACTGCAAAACGAAAATGAAAATTAAATTAAACAGCGAAAGTTACACATTTTTACCTACCATTAGTCCTTCCATGTTGTAGTAATTTCACGCTTAAATACTGTAAAGATAAATTCAATACAGCAATCTGTTGTGTAATTATGCAGAATTTCAGATCTTGAAATATATTCACATCTATATTATAAGATGCAAATTCATGCCTGTACAAGAGGTGTACCTATCTTAACCTAACAGTTAATTTTTTTAATAATTTTTTTTTTTTGATAGGCTGCCCACTACACACTCATTCTTTTTCTTTGCATATGTGTCTTATCGTTTTTTTCCTTTTGGCTTTAACCTCACCCACAATATAAATAACTAACATTAGATAGCTTTTGGAACTGCAGTGATCCCTCGCTAATCTATAATGCGGTTCACTTTTCGCAGCCTCGCAGTTTAGCGGATATTTTTCATGCAAAAAATTGTGCTTTTTTTCTACAGTGCATTGTGTTCTACATCCTTACTGGCTGTAATAGACCATTGTCAGAATGTGTTCAGCTTGCCAAATTTACATACTGTAAATCGTTGATTGCTAGCAGTGTGACTCTGAAGTGCTGTACTGTATGTTTGCAAGTTTTCTTCCCACAATGTTGATGAAACATCAACGTCACCTGCGGTAGCACCCAAAAGGCAGAGGAGGATGCTAACCATTGCACGAAAAGTTTAACTTCTGGACATGCTAAAGGAAGGTAGAAGTTATGCGGCTGTAGGGTGCCATTACAAAATAAATAAATCAAGATCAAATGGTTTTGGACTTTGGTTTCATTCTATAATACTGGACTTATAATTTTTCTATGAAGAACTTTGAGCTTTGAACTTTTGTATTTAAACAAGAGAGAAAAGTGTGAAAATGCTAATGCCTGTTTGAGAGAAGTATGTAGTGAGGGGTTTACAGCATTACAATTTCTTTAATAATTGTAAAAAAATAAAGCTGAATACTAATATGGATTTTGCCTATTGCGGGTTATTTTTAGAAAGTAACAGCCAGAAATAAAGAGAGACCATTGTACACCATAAACACAAACCATCTACAGCATCATACTTATGACAACAGTAAATTATTGAACTTACTATGTTTGCTACGTTCATTGTCCTTCAGATTAGTCCCTTATTTATCAGGGGTCGCCACAGCGGAATGAACCGCCAACTATTCCGGGCCGGCATATGTTTTATGCAAAGATGACCTTCCAGCCACAACCCAGTACTTGGAAACACAGATATACTCTTTACATTTACACACTTTTACACTATTGGGAATTCACCTATGCTTCATGTCTTGGGACTGTGGGGGAAATCAGAGCACCTGGAAGATAACCCATGCAAACAGAGGGATAACATGCAAACTCCTCATATGCCAACTGACCCAGCTGGGACTCCAACTAGCGACCTTCTTGTTGAAGTAGTTGCTGTGACATTTATCAATTCTCTATTCTCAGACACCATATATAACAAACACTTGACAGCCATTTTCCCTGAGTTCTCTTCTTCCGCTTCCACATTCTCATCCTTTTCAGCAACTGCAGCAGCTCCAGTCATGTGAGCTAAATCTCTAATCTCACTGGACAGCCCATTTCATCACAGGGCATCAGGGAAAAAATTACACGCATTGGTTGAAAAATGTTTTTCTAAAAGTTTGCTTTGTCTATGGAGCTGTTTGTCAATAGCACCATAGAATTAAATTTTGTTTAGTAGTGTCATTGCATTGCACATGCACACTGTTTCAATAAGGGATAAAGTACATCTAGACTGGTCTTATCGTAGAATAAAGCCTGACAGTCCAAATTGGATAGCTGTAGTATAAGTCTGAATTGCTCTATTCTGCAAAAACTACTGCCTTGATGTTCTTTTTTCCCTTTATTATACTGCTACTTGCCACAAAACATAAAAATTTGTCACAAAAATTGTTCTGAGCCGTAATAGTTTATGAATTCTTAAAGATAATGCTGACAGAAAAGAAAACTGTGTGTTGAATGGAGCAAATACTACCCTACATATTATTCAGTCACAACATCAAAACAAAAACAGCCGTGAGACAGACAGGCATACATAATTATAGATATGAACATATTCACTGACAGTCAAAGTACCTGTATGAGCTGGTGGAATTAGTTTAGTGGTTGTCATCTCAGATTAACATGCCTTGGAATGTAGCTATTGACCAATCAGAATGAAATAATCCAGACAGCTGTGTAATAATCTGACTGTGGCTAAAAAAAACTAATCCAAAACCTCTTAAAGTAGCCATTCTGCAATATTGGGCTGAGAAAATTACTAGTATTTAAGTTGTTGTTTTTTTGTTTCCAAAAATTTGATTTATGAGTGAACCGTTTAGAGCAGGTTTGTAAAATGAATGTCAAAAAAAGTGAAGATTGAGATCACGACAAAAGTTTATCTAACTTTTTGATTTTCTACATTTTTTTTCAGGTTCTTTTGCAAAACTGGGTATTCATTAAAATGAGGATTAAAATCTGAGCAGAAAGGCTGAACAGAAAGGAAGTGAACCTGCTTCGTCATCTGACTCATTTGCTTTCCTGTTTTGAACATCGAGAAATATCATGCCTGTCACCTTTTAGCATGTTCCACTGTGAGAACTTGTGCTTTGACTTTGCAAAATCATGAAAGGACGGAGAGACAGAACGAGGTCATAATGTACTGAATAGCCTTTAAGATCCAGTCATGAACTCAATTGATTATTGAAGATCATGTCATTTCCCACCTCACATGCCATTTTGTTTTTGTAAAGCAACTCCTTACAGACCATAAAACCCACAATCCATTTGGCAGGAAATAGCCAGACGTGAATTCCGGTTACTGTGGTGGTTCTTTAAAATCTTTTCCTCCTGAAAATCCACCCTGAGGTTTAGTCTGCCTTAACCATGATGTCTAGAAGAAAACTGTGCTTAGGCGCTTTACTGGGTGCTATTCTGTTTTTAATGATAGCTGCTCACACCATTCAGAAGGCCGGTGTTGTGCCCATCACGGATTTACCCACTCACCATGATGTCAGGATACCAGTGAAGAACCAGACTCTGTTACACCCCGTCACTGAGCCAAGACGAGGTCATTCCTGTAGCTGTACATCATGTATAGCAGACAGAGGTGTGTCAGAGTGGTTTGACCAACGCTATGATCAGAAACAGAAACCTTACCTCACCGGCAGAGATGATGACGTAGATCCACTTTCTCTGAAGTGGTGGCTGGTAAGAGGCACATGATGGTTAATGCTAGTTTTAAAGGGATAATTTGTAATTTCACCCCCAAAATGATAATGTCCTATCATTTACTTGCATTCAATCTTCTTCAGTTGAACACATAACAAGGCATTCTGGATAGGGTTAGGTTCTGAAACTTAATGCCATTATGGCACATTAAAGCACTGTCTTTGACAGCTTGCGACATCGTGGCATTTTCAGAGGATGTTTAAATGAACACCAGTATTCCGATTTAAATATGATAAGAAAAATACTTTGATTAAGAGTCTACAATGTAAACAGTAATTTTTATTTACTTTTTTTGATTGCCATAAAGGACCATCACAAACTGCGAAGCGAAGTTTTTTTTTTTCATTCGGCGTGCAGTATCAAATTCTATTAAAACAACACTCTTCCACCAGTATTTGCTGGTAATTTGCATCTGGTAAATCAGTTTGTCATGGGGAAATGAACAATATGTTCCTGAGTGAAAGTGAAACTGTCAAACTGCAGTTAAAGTCGAAAAATTTAAAATGAAATACACCAAAATTATATGAAATTATTTGAAATTATATAAAACTCATAATGCAAATCTTAAATTCATGCCAACAAACACAAATCATTAAAAGAAATATTTTAATGCAATTTAATTCAAATATAAAAGATTAATTGATGTATAAACTTTAAGCTTTAATTATGTTGTTCAATTAAAATGATTATATACATAATAAAGATTATATATATATAAAGTAGAACCAAACATACTATGGAAGTCAATGGCTGTTCAACATCTTCAGTATATGTATCTTTGTGTTTAACAGAAGAAAGAAACGTAAACATGTTTGGAACAAGTGTAGGGTGAGTAAATCATGACAGATTTTTCTTTTTTGGGGTGAATTATCTTTTTAATCTAAGAATGTGTTCAGTTGAAATTTGGAACCTTTGCTGTAAAAAAGGAAATACTATGTTAAGTTCTGTTTAGCTCTCTCACTTATTTTTAAGACCAAACTTAAAGATAAGAACTTGTAAAGAGTGTATGAAATGTGTAAATGTGTCAAAACCAAACAAAAATGGGCAACGTAACTCTGACAAAAGAAATAGTTATGATTAAGCATTCTGTCCTTTTCTATAGTTGCATCTTGTGACATGTCATTTGTTGTTGTTTATGTTTTTAGTCTTTAAACCAAACTTGACTAGAACTCTGTTGGAAGTGAACCGAGATCTATCTTTTTAGTCTGATGCAATTTGAACTTTAGTGCGTGGCAAACAATCACTCTTGTTTAGATGAACTGCATTAAAGGGATAGTTCACCCAAAAATTACGTTTTACTCACAACACATGATTCCAAATCTTTGAGTTACATTTTACTTTGGTTGTTAAACACAAAAGAAGATATTTTAAAGAAAGCTGCAAACATGCAACCATTCTTTCAAATTAGGAAAAACACATACTGTAGAAGTCAGAGTACTTACTGAGTTTCAGCTTTAATTAAGACTACGCATGGGCCAGTATATGGCTGGTATATGAACCTTTGACAAAAATATCACGGTTTGACAGTATTGTGATTACTGCTCTAAAATATATTCTTTTTAAATGTCTGGGTGAAAAAAAATTCCCTTTAAACAATATATATTATTTTGGCAAACATTTAAACTATTTTGGAGCAGTAAACATGTCAGGCTAAATAATTCAGATCATTGACTTGTGCTGTCTTCATTTGTTGCAAAAACACAGATTTCTTTACATTTAAAATGCCATATTTGGACATCTTTTCTGCTGGAGATGCTGTTGTACTAAAAAAAATAAACAAAAAAACGTGAATAAAAAATGTTATGCATACCCTAGGAATGGTATAGCAGGAAATTTTGGCAGTTTTAAAACCTTGACTTTTCCAAATCACGGTTTACCTTGAAAACGATTATCGCCCCATGCCTAATTAAGACATCTTCTTTTGGTTTTAACAGATGAAAAAAATTAGTCCAACATGTTTGGAGCAAGTGAAGGATGAGTAAATGATGACAGAATTGTCTTTCTTTTTAACTGAGCAGTAACACCAGAGTTGGTTTTAATTTTAAAGTTTGAATACACCCTAAGGCTAAAAACCATTTGAAATGTTTAAATTAATTTCATGATTAGCTGATTCCAGTGAACTATATGCAGTTACAAATTCGGCACGTTTAAGGTCTGTTTTCTTTAAAAATCAATGATCTTCACTCCCTTGTACAAGAAGCTCTGCATTAAATTCCAAATTTCCCCGCCGTGTCTTTAAAATATGAACATTTATTTTACTCCAGTTCTTTTCAATTGAGTTTCTGCGCAAGCCTGCTAATCCCGACTGGCACGTCCATGTTGATGGCTTTTCATTCCTTTTAATGCTTGAACAACTAAATGAATGGTGAAGTCTAGAATGGTGAACAGCTGGTTCATTCCAGACCTCTCAAGTTTACTTACTACCATCGTATCTGTTTGCCAAACATCATTAAAGCGATGACTGTGGATCCCCCCCTGAAATCCAGCCATTATCTGGTTTCCTTAAACAAAAAAGTAATTCTCCCTTGGGAGCAAGGGCACAAATAGGTTTGTCGGCCTTGCCATGTGTTTCAGTAAGGTTTAATTTAGCCTAATTAAAGGCTTTCAGGCTTTTGCAGGCACTGAGAGCACACTTGAATTAGCCTGATGTTGGTCTGCCTCAAGCGTCTCAAGTTTCCATCTGTATAGCACAGAGCAATATTTTTAATTATATAATATAAAGCTCATAGTTGGGGGATTATCTCTTTTAAACGGTTGGCTCACTCAAAAATGGAAATTACGCTATTAATTACTCATTCTGTCATTCCAAACCCGCCACTTTCTTTCATCTGTAGAACACAAAGATATTTTAGGTGAAATCCGAGAGCTCCCTCATCCTCCATAGCAGGGCTGCAGCGCAGACTGTAAAATATATGGACGTACTATCCGTCACCTATCGGTTTCTAAAGAGCGCAAATGAAGCTACAAGTAGGCGTGGCCAACCGTCGCCATTTCTTTCGTGCATCATTGCACCAACTGACGTTTACCAAAAAAGGGCGAAGAGGTGGAGCTACAGAGGCCTAGCATTTTGCTTAAACAGGCTTTTCTTTAGGAGAAACTCTTAATACTTCATTACCTACAACTCGTTTGTGTTCTGACCACATGTGCTTGATTGTGTTCTATTGTGTTTCAGTAAATTCTGTATTGGCTTCACAAGGGAGAGTGGGATGTTACCGCTTGGGCTGCATGATATTAGAAAAATAAATATTGGACAATATGGCAAAAATGCAATCTCAATAATTACATTTTCATATTGAACAATAACAATATATATTTCGATATTAATTGATAATGCTTCCAGATTTAAAAGAGTTCCCCTCAACAATGACTGAAGCCACAAAAAGTAGAGGATCCAATTAATGGCATAACATATTTTTGGCATTTTCTGATAAATTTTCGGTGGCCAAAAATTCAGTACATCTCTAATATCAACACATCTTTAGATTCCCATTGTTGCACATTTCTGTTGTGTGATTGGCTTTTAGATCAATATAGAGTAAAAAAGGTTCAGAGATTATCATTGATAATGACACAAATTTTATTACGATTCGATATAATATCATTTATCGGCCAAGCTCTATTTGGAACCTTGTTTTAGCAGCATCGTTTGGTTTAAACTGTATGTTTTGTTTATGATGTTGTTTTGCATAGTCTCTGCAGGCATCTGATGGAACGATTAAAGACGTCACTCAGAAGATGTTTAAGATAATTTCCCCTCCACATGAGGATGAAACACCACGGCAGAACCAGTGCCGGAAGTGTGCAGTTGTTGGGAACTCGGGGAACCTGTTAAAGTCCAAATATGGAGCCTTGATAGATTCTCACTCAACAGTTATTAGGTGCGTTTTCTGCTCTTTTGCATTTAAACTTAGTTCCCACTAACACACAGATTTATTTTTTTATCCACAGAATGGTATTTAAGGGGTCATGAACTGTTGTGGTGTTTATTTTAAACTTCTCTCTGAGACCTACTTACAATGTTATCAAGATTTAGACTTTTTACTTGTAATTTAGTTCATTCCTGCTTTGAACCCTCCTCTTTAAAAAACATTTGAATAGGTGTTGATCGATTTTGTCCCACTACAGGGGTGGCATGGTGGCTCAGTGGTTAGCACTGTTGCCTCACAACAACAATAATTTGAGTCCCGGATGGGCCAGTTGGCATTTCTGTGAGGAGTTTGCATGTTATCCCTGTGCTTGCAGGGGTTCCCTTCCAGGGGCCTGTTTCAGTAAGGAGGTTTAAACAACTCAGAGTTTAAACTTGAACTCTGAGTTGATTTACCGAGAGATTAAACCAGCTGTTTTCGGTTTCAGAACAGCTGATCTGAGTTGGGTCAATCAACTTCGAGTAGACCAACTCAGAGTTAAGCGCGCGCACCGTGACTATAAAAAGGCATTATCAGTGGAGCGCAGACATTACGAGTGACTATGGCAATATCTTATAAAAGAGATCACCATTTCTTTCTCCAGCTGAACTTGATGTTCTCATGCAAAGTTATAGCAAATATGAGTGTATATATTTGAAAAGAAGCAGCCATCAACCAGTTAGCGTGGGAAAACAGCTGCTCAAGATAATGCCTAATTTAACTTTTTAAGTATTTAAATATTTAAGTATAATAAAATAAGTAATGTAATTTGTGACGTTTATATATTTTTTTCTAAACTTTCTTTTATACATTTATTAGTTTTAAATGATTTAACAGTGCACTTGTGTGTCTGCCTTTTTTATTGATCAAGTGATAGAGGTTAATATAACATTTAGAAGGTAAGCAGTACTAAAATCATTTTTAGAAAGAATAATAATCCCATTAATCTAGTTACAGTGCATATCGAAGGTGAATTCAATTTAATTATTTATTAAAAAAGCATAAGCCATTCTAGTACAGTTCTTCTGTGTGTGACTAAAATGTAGGCAATAGCTATGTTTCCATCCAAATATATTACATAAATGTATGTGCAAAACTGGAATATTGCATAAAAGATGTGAATAAAATTCCATCCAACGAGTGAAAGAGAAAAAAATTGTCACTTCCTAAATTAACTGGCACCAAATATCAACAGTAAAAACAGAATTTACTGTGGTAGAAGAAGCTGCGTCAATTAATTCTTTATTTAGCCTAATTAATGTACTTGCGCCTCGATGTCAGAAGACAATGCTGAAACACAATGAACACGTGGGGGCGTCTGAAGCCATGAGACGCGGAGACTCTTGACACGCACCAGACGTTCGGAGGTAATTAATAATATACAATAATACTGAAACAGTTAAGGCATTTTAGAATGACTAAAACAATATTTAAGACGTGTTACAGTGTTCTCAGCCTCCATTTACACACATTTTCATTATCATATGATCATGATCTTTTTTTTAATGTACATACTGTAATTTGTTCAGTAAAAGGGTTTCCATCGTAGTTTATGCGCACATTTTCTATCGAATAAAAGTTTATCCTACTCAGTTATGCACGTTTTTTATGCATATTTTAAAAAGTTATGTGCATCATGACGTTTCTATCAATCGTTTTTATGCACGTATCCAAAATGAGCATTAAAATAGGTGGGTGGAAACGTAAGGCTAAGGCGAGAAATACCGCTTCATCTTTAAAAAAGGGGAGGAGACAGACAGAAACTCTGAGTTTATAGAATAAAACCTGCTTCTGACCAGGTTAGATTCACAGAGTAAGTTACCACAGTAACTGACTCTGAGTTAAAGTTACCTCTATTTCAGAAACAGGCTTGACTTACCCTGATTTCTCGAGTTTAACAAACCTGCCATTTTGAAACGGAAAACCCAGAGTTTCTCTCATTTCAGGGTTAAAATACTCTGAGTTTTCAGTTAACCTCCTTTCTGAAACAGGCCCCAGGTGCTCTGGTTTCCCCCACAGTCCCAAGACTTGCGCTATAATTGAAGTGGATGAACTAAATTAAGAGTGTATGGGTGTTTGCCAGTACTGGGTTGTGCTTTGTAAAACATATGACAAAATAGTTGGCCCTGACAAATACAGAACTAATACAAAGGAAAATTATATTTATATATATATATATATATATATATATATATATATATATATATATATATATATATATATATATATATATATATATATATATATATAATATATATATATATTTTATATAGATATAGATATTATATAATATATATAATATATATATATATATATATATATATATATATATATATATATAGATAAATAAATTAAAAAAAAAAAAAAAATAAAAATATATATATATATATATATATATATATATATATATATATATATATATTTTTTTTTTTTTTTTTTAATATATATAGATATATATATAGATATATAAATAAATAAATTAAAAAAAAAATATATATATATATAAGCATCCATACATACTTATTCACACTCATACACTACAGCCAATTTAGTTTTTTCAATTCTCCTATAGCGCATGTCTTTGGACTGTGGGGGGAAACCGGAGCACCTGGAGGAAACTCGGGTGAACACTGAAAGAACATGCAAACTCCACACAGATATGCCAAATGACCCAGCTGGGACTTGAACCAACAACCTTCTGGCTGTGAGGTGACAGTGCCAACCACTGATCTACAGTGCTACCATATTTTATACACAAACATTATCTGGTGGAATAGATCAATTGTGATCAGATTGATGAAAACACATGCAATTACCCGGCGTAATCAGGGCTACTCTGACATTTAAAAAGGGTTCATCTTTATTTTGAGTTACTTTACCAATAAGTGAAGTTGTTGTGTTTATTCACAGAATGAATAAGGCTGTAACTGTGGGTTATGACGAGGATGTTGGTAACCGAACCACCCACCACTTCTTGTACCCAGAGAGCGCCATCAATCTAAGACCTGGAGTCCATCTCGTCCTTCTTCCCTTCAAGCTGAAAGACATGCAGTGGTTGTCCAGCGCCCTTTCTACTGGAGAGATTAAAATGTAAACTCTTTCTGAAACGTTACCAAAATGACTCCAAATGCCATAAAACGTATCGCTAAACCAGTTTGTATGTTCCAAACAGGACGTACATGAGAGTGAAAAACCGTATAGACGCTGATAAAGACAAGGTCAGTATAAATCATGCTGGATCTCGTAAATTTATAAACGAATCCACCTAACTCTTCGTCCTCTGTGTGTCATCCAGGTGATGGTCGTAAATCCAGCTTTCTTTAAGTACACACACGACAAGTGGACAGAGCGTCATGGAAGATACCCGTCCACTGGGATAGTAGCCATAATATTTGCTCTGCATCTCTGTGACGAGGTTTGTACTTGAGTTTACAGCCAAGGCAATCAATTGTGCGTCACCAGACACTTAATCACGATGTTCAATCCCAACAGGTGTCAGTGTTTGGATACGGGGCGGACGCTCAAGGAAATTGGCACCACTATTGGGAGTACAACAGATACGCAGGTGCCTTTCGAAAAACAGGCGTTCACAATGCTGATTTCGAGACTGAGATCATTCAGAGACTCAGCGCAGAGGGCAAAATCAAGCTGTACAGATGAGCCTGTAATTGTGGCCTTTACTGACTCGGTAGTGCTTAAAGCCTTGTAAATGCAGGGCCTGGATGCGCAGCAGCTGAACGAAAGCCAAAGAGACGCAGATCTGTGATCCACCCTGCCGATAATTGACCACTGTGAACTGCACTGAACCAAACCCACAGACATCAAGCTGTAGTCCAAGACCAAATGAACTCTTACAGTATTTCACTCGTTATGTGCCTGGAAAAAGCTAAAATACTGACAGATGTTGCCTTTCTTCCCAAGTCGGGCATTGGAACTTTTGAAGAAGACGAGCAGTTAGCCTGTTGGCTTGATCTGAGCCTCTTTGTGTTTCTTTCTTATTAAATGTGTTCTGACAAGCCTTACCGTGTCCGCTCTGCAAATCTGCAACACAATGTTTCAACAAAGATTTCAGGGCATTAACATCTTAAAGTCAACATGAATAAGCGTCCCACTTGCCCTCTGCAACAGTTAGAGGGATAAAAAGATGCAAGACTTTATTATTATTATTTATTGGAACATGAAACTGTTAAATAACCAGATCGGACTATTTGGAATACAGTTCGGTGATCCAAAAAGGACCATTTAAGAGGGCTTTATGAATGGAAAAAAATCTGAAAACTGACTTTTTTTTTTTTCTCTCTCTCTTCTGTTTTTTTTGACTAAAGGCCCAGGTGTACTTCGCCTTGTGCATTTCATTCCACCTCATACATTACTGCTTAAAGATTAAATAAGTTTCTACATGTCTACATGTTTCTAAATGCCTTTTTGTGCTCTACCAGACTCCAGGGGGCAGCACTGAGTCATTTACAGCAGTGTTTCTCAACCACGTTCCTGCATTGCACATTTTCCAGGTCTCCTTATGCAGGAGAGTCCAAACTCGATCCTGGAGGATAGGTGTCCTGCTGAGCTTAACTCTAACTTGCTTCAACACACCTGCCAGGGAGTTTCAAATACATCTAATAAGAGCTTGGTTAGCTGGTTCAGGTGTGTTTGATTAAGGTTGGAGCTAAACTCTCCAGGACAAGAGCCCTTCAGGATCGAGAGACTGAGAGACCTGTGATGGATTTGACAGACAAAGAAGACGTCTGAAACATGCAGTGCTGGTGGTCTTCCAGGAACGTGGTTGAGAAACACTGGTTTGCAGGACAGTTCTGTTAATGCTAAGTTTGCCGTCCATTTATGTAACTTTTTTTTTTTGGTTTGTTTTTTGCATTCTGTTTCAGTGTTAATGCTGTAATGTGTGTCTAGTAGACAATTCTATCTTGGCGATCCCTTTGCGCATGTATGCAGGTGTGCATAGAGGTCTGTTGATACTCATTGTGTCACAAGAACAGTCCTTGGATCATTGCGGATAGTCAAAGTATATTTTGGGCTAAAAGTGCAGTATTAATAAGAGGATTTACCCAAAACATATACTTTATTATTATTATTTGTAAAGAAAATAACACTTTGGTTTAAACCTTTTTGAACCCCAATGGCTTTCATTCATAGACTAAAGGAGGCCAATCCTGGGACTTTTTGTTCAAATTAGGAACAACATGAGTGTGAGTAAACAATAAAATGTAAGCACATGAAGTCAGTTTAAACCATGTTCAGTATTACCAAGTACACTTGTTTTGTGTTTCATTGTGAACTGTAAAACTGGCCATGTGCATCGACAGTCGCATGAGGCTGAAGTATACTTTGGGCTTAACATCTTTACTGAAATGCACCATGGACCATTGAAGTGTGCCATTCAGGAGTAGGCCAAAATTTCATGTTGACTTTAAAACTCAACCTGCAGTGCATTGAAAGATTTTTGACCCTTACTGGCAAAATAATGCCTAATTTGTATATGCTTTAAAAAGTAATTGCACATCCAAAATGATCTTCCTTCGTTTTAGAACACTGTTATTATTACTACAGACTGACATTCTTCTATCCATGATATTGAAGAAACGCATTAGATCAGGGTTTCTCAACCATGTTCCTGAAGGACCACCTGCTCTGCACATTTTCCATGTCTCCTTAACCACACACACCTGATTCAGATCACCAGCTGATTAGCAGAGACTGATAGGCCTGTAATGGGTGTGACAGACAAAGGAGACATCCAAAACATGCAGTGCTGGTGGTCCTCCAGGAATGTGGTTGAGAAACACTGCATTAGATGGCTACTAGGTACTGGTTTAAAACTTCATTGTTCAATCATACATGCTGAAATTTGTTTGTCTCATTTTGCCAGCATGGGTCATATTTTAAGTTTGTGGAATGTATTGCTGGGTTCTAGAGTACTCGGGATTTTGTTTTTCACTTAAGTAGATTTTTTTTTTCTTGTATGTGCGCTGAAGACCATTTCTGCACATTCACGGCCTTTATTTGTGTGTTTGTATTAACTTTGATCTGCTCGCACATACTTTACTTTGGATTCGGTGTGAACCCAGCATACATTTTCAAAATCTCAACTAAGCAATAGAAGTCAGAGTAGCGTATTTAAGACATTCACAAATGTTCATTTAGCTTTAGACCACAGGTGTCAAATTCAGTTCCTGGAGAGCCGCTGCTCTGCACCTTTTAGCTCCAATCCTGCTTCAGCACACTTACCTGTAGGTTTTAAAACAAGCCTGTGTTTAATTAGGGTTAAAACTAAACTGTACAGAGCTGCGGCCTTCCAAGAGCTGGATTTGACTCCTGTGCTTTATACCAGTGTTTCTCAACCACGTTCCTGGAGGATCATCAACACTCCATGTTTTGGACGCCTCCTTTGTCTTTCACACCCATTACATGTCTTTCGGTCTCTGCTAATCAGCTGATCTGAATCAGGTGTGTTAGGTTAAGGAGACATGGAGAATGTGCAGAGTTGGTGGTCCTCCAGGAACATGGTTGAGAAACACTACTTTAGACCAGTGTTTCTCAACCACGTTCCTGGAGGATCACCCACACTGCATGTTTTGGATGTCTCCTTTGTCTGTCACACCCATTACATGTCTTTCGGTCCTTGCTAATCAGCTGGTGATTTGAATCAGGTGTGTATGGTCAAGGAGAATGTGCAGAGCTGGTGGGCCTCCAGGAACGTGGTTGAGAAACACTGCTTTAGACAATTACAGAGATGCACTGACACCATTGGTCACCACATGTTTCCTGCGTCAATAGTTGAAGGATTCACAACCATACTGTCAATAATATCAACCGGTGCACATGCTGGAAGAGCTATTTATCACATAGAGCTGTGAAAACACATTTTGATTGTAGTCGAGAGTGTGGCGTTTCCTGTGAATGTGCTGTATGTGTGTTACCACTTTAATTTTCTTACATTTTTAGACCAAAGCTGGCTATAGGGTGAAGCATCTGGTCTTTGTGGCCTTTAATTGACCTGTCATCTGGTTTACACTTCAGCATATGGCAGATGCTGTATTTTCATGCAGTTCATCACTGTGTTGGGAGATTATTCCGAATTAATTTTGGTTTAAGACTGACAATGTCGAAACTTGAGCTGTAAATTCGATGCTTGTTGCCGAGTGTTTTCACACATGTGCTGAGCTGGACTTTTGTTCTGTTGTTTAATGTTCTCGAATGTATTTGGGCTTTGCGTTCTTTGCTTCACGTCAATCAGCAGCTTTTACAGTTTGTACAGAAATGAGATAATCGAGACAGAATTTGACATGGAAGAGTGTTTTAATAATCTATTTAAAAACAAAAACCAAAGGATAAACCATAAGAAATAACTGAATTCAAAAGTCACAGTTTTGGCAATCCAGAGAAGTATTAAAAATACAAATATTTTATAGAGTTGCATAAATAAAAAATACAAGAAAAACAGCCTATAATAGAGATATATTTTTCTTTTTTATACAATACATAAATATCTCACAGTACCCTAGTTTCCCATTCATGTTCAGCTGAAACATTTTAATACACAACAGTGACTACATAATGCAAAAAGAGAAGAGTTTCACCAATTTATCTGGGAGAATTGTTTAGGAGGAGTCTGATTATGTTGAGCGCTAACGTCAAGAAAAGCTGTGGCCAAATTGATTTTTATGATTCTGTTTACGTTTTCAAGATGTGACCACAGATTTAATATTCCCTGGGTGTGACATGATTTGGAAAATGTCTTCTGCCACGTGTAATTGTGTACTTTCGAAGCACTTTAAGGAGTTTGTAGATGCTCAAAGACTGTCCAGCTGAATGTGAGTTCAATGGCCAAATTAGCTAGGTGTGTGTGTGTGTGTGTGTCTGTGCACATCGTAAGCTTCTGTGTTCACATTGTTTTGTCTGAACCTGTGATTAATCTGTGGTCTGTTTTTTCAATAAACCACTTAACTGTTTATTCCATCATTATTTCATCTGAACTTTTTCCCCCCAATTTATTATTTTTTTTGACGTTTCAAACACTTTTGATCAAACTTGTCATTACTGTAAAAAAGTCACATTCTTATTACTTTAATATACAAATAATATATTAAGTATTTTATTATTCTGTTATGCAAGCAAAAAATACAGTTTTGGGTATTTAATACAATAATGAAAAATAAATGATAAAGAGACTTTGGGTTCTGAAACATCGAAATGTTTAAAAACATCAATTGTTTGTCTAAAAAAATATTTTTTTATTTAAATGTAGATGAAATGAGAGCTGGTTCTGTTGTTTTGTTAGTTTTTTTAACAATATTTATAATTAATTATTTCCTGATTATCGAAAAAATAAATAAAAGTCATGCTGTTTGCAATTTTACAGTGTACAAAATACACTCACAGGCCACTTTATTAGGTACATGTTACTACTACCGGGTCGGACCCTATTTTGCCTTCAGTACTCCCTTAATCCTTAATGGCATAGATTTAACACAGCTCTGGAAATATTCCTCAGAGATTTTAGTAGATCAGTAGTTTCTAAAATACTCAGACCAGCCCGTCTGGCACCAACAACCATGCCACGTTCAAAGTCACTTAAATCACTTTTCTTCCGCATTTTGATGCTCAGTTTGAACAGCAACAGATCAGCTTAACCGTGTCTACATGCCTAAATGCATTGAGTTGCTGCCATGAGATTGGCTGATTAGAGATTTGGACAGGTGTACCTAATAAAGTGGCAGGTGAGTGTAAAAACAATGATTAAAATTTCAATTTCGCATTTTTTATATCTCGTGAAATATAACTCAGATGTGTTTTGTGCTATGCATGTCCCATTATAGGTCATCTTTTGATTTTAATTCTGCTATTACGTAAAAATTACTGTATTTAATAAAGTAATGAGGTGGCGCATTAGGTAGTGATGTTGCCTCACAGCAAGAAGATCACTGGTTTGAGCCTCAACTGGGTTAGCTTGCATTTCTGTGAGGAGTTTGCATGTTCTATCACGTGTTCGCGTGGGTTTCC